CTAAGCACACCTGCATCCCCTCTCCCCCCAGCCACCTCAAATAAGCATACAATTGAAGTCAACCCAATGTCCTTGATATGCAAGCTTCAAAAAAGTCTTCTGGCCCCCACTTCCAACCAACCAGACAGCTTCTTTCTGCAGAGAAAATCAGTGGCAGACACTGTCTGCTTTCAAGAGTCTGAAAATGACCTGAGCAGCCGGAATGACACCAGCAGACACAGGGCAGGAGAATGTGGTATCCAGTCAGCCTCAGGAAAATGATAAAGGGACCAACTTGCTGAGCTGATTGCTGCACAAAGGTTATTTACACAAACCCAATCTGGTCCTGGCCAGTGAAAAGAGGATTGAAGGGAATTATTAATTAGTAGTTCATCAGACTTTAGCCTTGCCTTAGCTTGCAGAGGCTCAGATTGCAGCCAGTGGGTTGTTTTCCCTCCCTTTCAAAACTGAGGATGCGGGAAGGGGAGATAAATTGCCAAACAAAACCAGATTGCAAAGGGGGCAGTCTATCACAGCTTCCAGGGAATCATAAAGGGCATCATCTTTATCGTAAATCATAAATGTGCATAAACTTAAATGCACATTACAGTGGCTAAAGCCTAGCTTAAATTGGTGCATTTTTGTTTCAATAGCATGTGATTATTCTTGTGATGTTATTACTGTGATTATAACTATTGAAATTTGCCAGTGTATTGAGATAGCTTGTCCAAAGAGATGCAGCTTGAAATCATGAATAACAGGTGATTTGTTGTGAGCACCCATTGAAAGGGCAACTGGTCAGGCAGAATTCCATTTGGGAAGCTCAGTGTGGTAGGGAGAGCCTGGCTGCTTACAAATGGGGAGAAAGAGATGGTGGAAAGAGAGCTGACCTTGATCCCTAATCTTGATGCTGCAGGATCTTGGAGAAGTCACTTTACTCCCCACTATGAAGTTCCATAAACATGCTATAATGCACATTAATGCTGCCTGATCTTTGCATGTCCTGTTGCCTCTTTTCCTCAAAGGTCTCACTTGGTAAATTGTCTTCCTTCAAGTTTCTGCTAGAATATCTTCATTAGATCTTCCCCTGCTCTCTCCAGGTAGAGCAGATGACAGGACAACCATCAACATTTATTAATATCGTGAATATAAGATAGTATAATGGTGGTGAGGCTTATGTATCACAGAGTATTATAAGTATTAAAAATGGGAGACAGGTCTGGCTCAACTTTATATCCACTGCATAGTGATGGCACTTGGAGGACAATTAGTAAATATTGGCTGAATAAGTTTCTTCCCCAGTATAGTAAGCAAAGCTCCCACAGAGTTGTAGCAAGGATCAAGGGAAATTATAAGTATTAATATACCCGGTAGTGAACTATACACAAATCAAACATTTTCAAATCAAACTGGACAAGAAGAATCTGTGTGAGAAATCATATGGCTGCTCATAAACCCAGCTGGCATCTGCTAATCTGTCTTCAAGAATCCAAGTCTCCTGCCTCAGCAGCTCTTCAGAACAAGAAAATCCCGTTTTATCATGAGTCAAAAAGGGTAAGATGTTGCCTTTTTTTTTTTTTTTTTAAATAGAGTATGGAAAGAGGTAGTGAATGGCAAGATAGAGTGACGCTTTGGAACACAATCTACCCATCAACAGTTGTATTTGCAAACATTGATTGTGCTCTACTCTTCAACTTTAGATGGCAGGTTGGCCTCTGACATCTAGGGTCTTCTCCTTCTTAGAAGGTCCAGGGGGAGAGGAGGGCTGCTTATGGTGCTTCCTCCTTCAACAGGATGTAGGGAAACATGAAGCATCAGGAAGACCAGAAGAAGGGGTGTGGCTCATGGAAGGAGGCAGGGAGAGGAAGCCCCCTTGGTTGAGAGGCCCTGGGGCCACACTCTGTTACTGCTGGTCAGGATGTTTGGCCTTAATCTCCATCCTGCCTTCACATGTTGCAGGGAGAGGGGAGGATACACCACCTAGAAACAAGGGGAAAAAGTCTTTAGGATACACAAATCCCTGAGTCTTCATCTTAGCACCAGGACTCGTTCTCCTGAAGTTTGCTGGAGGCTTCATCATCATCAGGCAAATATTTACCCAAATTATTAATTTCTAGAGCTTCAGTTCCACTGTTTATTGTTGACATATTTTATTGTAGTTGGGGGCAGGACCAGAAAGTAACACTTACTTTCTCTCATCAGGGAGATAGGACTGAGCAATCTCAGCTGCTGGACATGGGCAGGACAAATCATTTTCTCTGTCATTAAAACTCCTCCTGGGGTGAGAACCAGGATGGAGAATGCACATTGAGTGTCAAGTGAATGGACACCATTCTCCCTGCCTTCTTGCTGCTGGACTAGACTGTAACCTCTCGGAGGGGAGAGGCAATGGCTCGATTACTTAGCTCTGTATTTCCAACAACATGCATAGGATAAAAGTGAAGGAATGAATGGAAGGAATGAGCTCTCTTTAACACCACCGACAGAGAGAGATGAGTACTCAGCTCTGTTTTAGGGGGAGCGTGTTGCAGGAAGGTGGAAACAGGGTGGGAAGGGATGTGACCTGGCTCCTAGAGAAGGACCACACACCATCACCCTGGGGCTGATTTCTCCAGAGGAAGAGCAACCAGGGAATCTGGTCCCCCCAAATGGGGTTGGGCAGGCTCCCCTCTCCAGGTTCCACCCTGTTGTAGGTCAGAGAAAGAGCCCTGGAAGAGGAGAAAGGGAACTGAGCTCTGGCTGTGCCCATAGACCCAGTATGGACTGGACAAGTCCCTTTCATTTCCTGGGTCTCTCTTTCCATCATCACAGAATTGGTGAGGAATTGGTTCATTCTGGGCATCTCTGACATTCCCCTGGGTACATCTGGTGGCAGAGAGGAGAGAAGACCTGTGGGTTTGGAGCAGCCACTGCAATTGGTAAAGTTTTTTGACAAGGCCTCCTTAAAAATTTCTGGCAAATTGCTCACTTGACTTAACAGTATATCTGTTTGTTTTAATATATAATAATGTGTGTGTAGGAAACCTTCTAAGTGCATAGAATTATCTTAGAAGCTGAGCCATGTTTGCCTTGGATTCTTCATCTCTGTGGGCATTACCACCTCATTCCTGAGTGTGGGGAACATCAGAGCTACATGACCTGAGGGTCCCTTGTAGCTCCTAAACCTCCTGAGGTTTAAAGAAATTTGGAGTAGATAATTCCTCTCATTTCCCCCAAACAAACCCTCATTCCCATTCCTTGTTTCACAATATTCTGATCTGAATGTCATCCTTTGATGAGAAAGTTAAGGACACAGCAAAATTCTATGGAATTCTTTAGTAAATCCTTGAATTCAGGAACTTATCCTTCTTTGTTTGATTTATTTCTTCCTGGGCTACTTCTTAATATCCCTGATAAATTTAGATGGAACACATTCAGGAAAAAATTCCTTTCTGGATATGTCTTCTCTAAAAGCATGCTATAACCCCCTTAGTACAGGTCAGCTAAACTACTTGCTTCTTGGTAACAAGAAGGTGGAAAAACTGCAGGGACAATTATTTATTCATTATTTTCTTCTTTTTCTTTTTTTGGTCTTAATAACTAGTTTTGTAATTGCTAGACCTCTATTGGCTCCAGTAAAAAACTGTTTGCCATTTTAGAACCATGCCTGAGTTACAGGGGATTACTAGATGTCGACAAGTGCTAGAATTATGTGGCAACAATAATATATAATATGCCTCTGGTGTCCCTGTGTGCAATTTGCCAGCTTCTCTGGCGCAGCCCTAACAAACTCAGCAAAGGTCTGCTCACTGCTAGGGGCCAAAGAGCAAGTCTCCCTTGGTTGCAGTCACTGGGAGAACACATTGGTTATGCTGACAAGTACCTTACTTGGTCCTTAAATCAGAAGGCTGTCTTTGTCCCCTGGGACCTCAAGGCAGGAACTGCCATCCTTTCAACCTTCACAGCCACAAAGACCTAAGGCCCCTTTAAAGGGCTCTCAAGGATGTATGTCAGGCATTGCTTTTGACAGTTGATGTCACTAACAGGAAACTTCCAGCTCAGAACCCGGGCTTATCAGCACATTCAACACACTGTCTTTTGGGAGACCCATACCACATGAGAAATGGGAATTAATCCGAAGGGGAAAAAGTATTTTTTTTTTTTTTTTTTGGCTGGGTACAGTATACTTTATTGATGGTACATGACAAGGTGGGGCTCCCCAAGCCCCTCCCCTTCTTCAGGGGGTCTGGGATGGAAACGGTGGAGGTCGGAAGATTCTCAGTGTTTTGTGGGATAAGTTGGAGCAGGGACTCCCCAGCAGCTGAGGGCCTCTCTTCCTCTTGCTCTCACTGGGGCTGGTGGTCCAGGGGGCTCTTACTCCTTGGAGGCCATGTGGACCATAAGGTCCACCACCCAGTTGCTGTAGCCGAATTCATTGTCATACCAGGAAATGAGCTTGACAAAGTGGTCGTTGAGAGCAATGCCAGCCCCGGCATCAAAGGTGGAGGAGTGGGTGTCACTGTTGAAGTCGCAGGAGACAACCTGGTCTCCTTGAGGGGGCCCTCTGACGCCTGCTTTATCACCTTCTTGATGTCGTCGTATTTGGCAGCTTTCTCCAGGCGGTAGGTCAGATCCACGATGGACACGTTGGGGGTGGGGACACGGAAGGCCATGCCAGTGAGCTTCCCGTTCAGCTCAGGGATGACCTTGCCCACAGCCTTGGCAGCACCAGTGGAAGCAGGGATGATGTTCTGGGCAGCCCCTCGGCTGTCGCGCCACAGCTTCCCAGAGGGACTGTCCACGGTCTTCTGGGTGGCAGTGATGGCATGGACGGTGGTCATGAGGCCCTCCACGATGCCGAAGTTGTCATGGATGACCTTGGCCAGAGGAGCCAAGCAGTTGGTGGTGCAGGAGGCATTGCTGACAATCTTGAGGGAGTTGTCCTACTTCTCATGGTTCACACCCATCACGAACATGGGGCATCGGCAGATGGAGCAGAGATGATGACCCTCTTGGCCCCGCCCTTCAAGTGAGCCCCAGCCTTCAAGACCCCAGTGGACTCCACAACATACTCAGCACCAGCATCACCCCATTTGATGTTGGCGGGATCTCACTCCTGGAAGATGGAGATGGACTTTCCATTGATGACAAGCTTCCCGTTCTCAGCCTTGACTGTACCGTGGAATTTGCCACGGGTGGAATCATACTGGAACATGTAGACCATGTAGTTGAGGTCAATGAAGGGATCATTGATGGTGACAATATCCACTTTGCCAGAGTTAAAAGCAGCCCTGGTGACCAGGCGCGCAATACGGCCAAATCCGTTCACTCCGACCTTCACCATCGTGTCTCAGGGACGCGGCTGGCACTGCACCAGAATACGCGGCTGTCTGTCGAACGGGGAGGAGCAGAGAGCTGGGGAAAAAGTATTCTTGTCCTGGCGTCTGACTCTTCATTTTTTCTTTAAACTTTATTGAGATTTAATTTTCCTATAATGAAACACACTCATTTTAAGTGTACCGTTTAATGTTTTGGCAACTATGTATATCATGTGACCATCATAATCAAGATACAGAACATTTTTGTCATCCTCCATAATGCCTTATGCCCTTTATACTCAACGCCCCGCATGCACCCTAACTCTGGGCCATGACGGCTTTCTGTCATTAGAGATTAGTTTTACCTACTCAGGAAAGTTAAATGAATGGAACAATATGGTGTGTATTCTTGTTTCTGGCTTCTTTTGCTTAGCATATGGTTTCGAGATTCAGCCACGTTTCTCTGCATGCCAGGAGTTCCTTTTGTTTCTGAGCAGTATTCCGTTGCATAAATATACCACAAGTTGCTATCCATTTACCTGTCGATGGGCATTTGGGTTGTTTTCAGTTTTTGGCTTCTATGAATAAAGTTTCTATGAACAAAAGTCTTCTTTGTAGACATACATTTCTTAGAAGAGTATCTATGAATACAACGGCTGGATCATATGGTAAATATAGGTTTAAATTTTTTTATTTTATTTATTTGACAGAGACACAGCAGGAGAGGGAACACAAGCAGGGGGAGTGGGAGAGGGAGAAGCAGGCTTCCTGCTGAGCAGGGAGCCCGATGGGGGGCGCAATCCCAGGACTCTGGGATCATGACCTGAGCCGAAGGCAGACGCCTAACTACTGAGCCACCCAGGCGCCCCTAGATTTAAATTTTTAACAAACTGTCAAAAGGTCTCTAAAGCATGTGTGCTATTTTACATTCCCATGAGCAATGCATGAGTGTTCCAGTTGCTCCATATCGTTACCCACATGGTATTATTAGTCTTTTTTTTTTTTAGGATTTTTAATTGTTTTAAAATAATCTCTACACTTAATGTGGTGCTTGAACTCACAACCCCAAGATCAAGAGTTGCATTCTCTACTGACTGTGTCAGTCAGGCGCCCCAGTATTGTTGTCTTAATTTTAGTCATTTTAGTGTATGTGGAGTAATATCTCATTGTGCTTTTATTTGTATTTTCCTGATGATTAATAATGTTGAGCATCTTTTCATGTACTTTTAGTCATTTACATATCTTCTTCTGTGAAGTGTCTGCTCAAGTATTTGGCCAATTTTATTATTTGTCTTATTATTTTGTAAGTTTAAAAAATTCTAGATTTGTCAGATGTAGATAGTGTAAACATTTTATCCTGGCCTGTTTGCATTTTTATTTTTAATGAGTGGAAGTTTTAAATTTTGATTAAGTCTGATTTTCCTTTTTTCTTAAATCATTGCCCATCTCAGGGTCATAAAGATCTTTTCTTCTTTATCCGTATTTACCTAGAAGTTTTAAAGTTTTAAATTATCTATAGAAGTCTATGATCCATTTAAAGTTAATTTTTATATATGGTGTGAGGTACATCAACATCAGAGTCAACGTGTTTCCCTTGTGTTTATATTTAGTTGTTCCAGCTGCAATATTGAAACGGTTATTATTTTCCCAAGTGAAGAACCTTGACACATTGCCAAAACTCAATTGACTATAAATGTGTGAATCTATTTCAGAATTTTCTGTTCTAGAAAATTTGTATGATTATGTTTATGCCCATACCACACAATTTAATTACTGTCTGAAATGATGTAGTATAGGCTTCTGTATATATTGTTTTTTTTTTTCAAAATTGTTTAGACTATACCAGTCTTTGGAAATTGCTTTTTATTTTTTTAAATACAAACAAGACTTTTTGGGTTTTAACTGAGATTACATGGAATCTACAGGTTAGTATAGGTATATTTTCCATTTATTTAGAGTTCCTTCAATTTCTCTCAGCAGTGTTTTATGATTTTTATTTTACAGGTCTTATATATATTTTGATATATTTATCTCTAAGTATTTCAGGATTTCTGATGATACTGTAGGTAGTGTTATTTATTTATTTATTTATTTACTTTGTATTTCACTTTCTAATTGTTTGTTACTTGCGTGTAGACATAAAATTGATTTATGTATGTTGACTTTGTATCCTAGAAACATGTTAGACTTACTTGTCAGTTATGGTAGCTTTTTTTTAATGGATTCCTTAGAATTTTCTACACACATAATTATGTCATCTGTGAGTAAAGACAGTTTTACTTTTTTTTCTTAACTGTATGCCTGTTAGTTTTTCTTATTATTTATTTATTTTGGTTTCTCTCATTACCTAGGACCTCTAGTGCAATGTTGAATAGTAGTAGTGATTGTGGACATCCTTGTTTTGTTCCCAGTCTTAGGGCATTCAACCTTTCATCATTCAGTATGATTCATAGATGCTTTTTAAAAATCAGGTTAAGGATATTCTCTTCCGTTCCTAATGTGTTGAGAGTTACTATTATGAGTGGGTGTTTAATTTGGTAAAACATTTTATGCATCTAAGCAAGTGATCGTCTGCCTTTTCTCCTTTATTCTGCTAATATGATAAATTATAATGATTACATTTTGAATGTTAACCCAACTTTGCATTCCTGGAAAAACACCAACTTGGTAATAATTTATCTATCTATCTATCTATTTATTTATTTATTTTTAAATATTTATTTATTTGAGAGAGACAGAGAAAGAGAGAGAGAGAGAGTGAATGTGGGGAGGAGCAAAGGGAGAGGGAGAGAAAAAATCTCAAGCAGATGAGTGTGGAGCCTGATGCAGTGCTCCATCCCACGACCCTGAGATCATGACCTGAGCCTAAATCAAGAGTTGGAAACTTGGGGCGCCTGGGTGGCTCAGTTGCTTAAGCATGGGACTCTTGGTTTCAGCTGGGGTCATGATCTAAGCGTTCGGCAATTGGGTGTGTCTTACTCCACACTCAGCAGGGAGTCTACTTGGGGATTCTCTCTCTCTGCCTCTCCCCTGACTCATGGGCTTACACTCTTTCTCTCTCTCAAAAGGGTAGATAAATCTTAAAACAAAACAAAACAAAAGAATTGGAAGCTTAATCAACTGAACCACCCGGGCACCACAATTCATTGTCTTTTTTATATATTGCTGGATAAACTTTCTTAATTAAAAAAAATAATTAAAAAAAATCTATTCTTCATAGGGAATGTTGGCCTATAGTTAGCTTTCTTTTTTTATAATATCTTTGTTTCTGGTATCAGAATAAGTTGATCTCATAAAATCATTTCAGAAGTGTTCCTTTCTTCTGTATTTTATGAAAAAGTTTATTTAATATTATATTAAATTGCTCTTAAATATTTGATAAAGTTTACATGAAGCTATTTGGAGCTTGAATTTCCTTTATAGCAATGTTTTAAAGAAGGAATTCAATTTCCTTAACACATATAAGATTGTTAATGTTTTAATTTCTTGTGATGATTTAGTCTTTCTAGGAATGTGTTCATTTCACCAGAATTTTGGAATTTAATGGAATAAAGTTTTCCACAATATTTCCTTTTTATCCTTTTAATATCTGTAGGATCTGTAGCAATTTCCCATCTTTCATTTCTGACATCAGTAATTTGTGTCTTATCTTTTTTTTCCTGCTAAACATGGAAGTTTATCAACTGCACTGAGCTTTTCAATGAGCTTTGTTTATACTGTATTTCTTTATTCCTTGGCTTTTTTCTCTGCATTGGTTTCTACTTGTCTTTATTTTTTTCTTAATTTTATTCCCTTTGGGGTTAATTTGCTTCACTTTTTCCACTTTCCTAAGATGGCAACTTACACCCTTGATTTTTATACCTTTATTCTTTTTTAATGTGAACATTCAAAGTTATAACTTTTCCGGCAGTCACTTCTTTAGTTGCATCATACATATTTTGATATGTTATGCTTTAATTTTCATTCAATTCAACATTTTTCTCATTTCTTTTGTGGTTTTTTTCTTTGACATATTGGTTAATTAGAAGTATATTTTAAATTTTTAAATATTTAGAGATTTTCAAGATATCTTTTTGTTTATTTCTAATGTAATTATATTTTGGTCAGAGAACATACTCTCTTTAATTTCAGTCTTTGAAAATTTATTGAGTCTTGTTTTATGGCTTACCATCTGGTCTATGGTGGTGAATGTTACATGAGAAATTGAAAACAATGGGCATTCTGCTGCTTTCAGTGTGATGTTCTATAAATATCTATTAGGTCAAATTGGCTGTAGAACAGAATAAGAGATTGGATAAGTCATAGTTATTCTACTATGGCCAGAAGCAAAATCTCCTTCATTTACATTTGACTATACATACTATAATTAAGCCAGATTGGAACAGGTCCTCAAAGCCAGCTTGAATCAAATGTAACACTAATCCGATTTTAGAGGTCGTTACTGATCCAATGCTTTCAGCTCATTTCTTGCTAAAAAGGAATAGTTTCTTGGTATCAACAGAAATTTTTTGTCTTTGGCCACTGAAAATAAGTAAAACAAGAGGTCCAAATTACTTACCTCTGGCTCTGATACTATAGAACTGTATATTTAAAAATGGCCAGAGAAAAACATAACTTTTGGATAATATTATACTTAGTATAGAGAATTTAATTTTATTCATGGTCATAATTCAGAAATTATTTATTATATGATAAAGAAATTAAAAATTATGGTTAAGTTATTTCTTACCTCTATACATAGTCTAGAATCCCAGTAAAAATGACTTTATTAGATACAAACATCCAGTTACAAAATATGTAAGTTTTGGGGATGTAATATAAAGCATGGTGACTGTAGTCAATAATACTGTAGTGCATATTTGAAAGTTGCCAAGGGAGTAAATCTTAATAGTTCTCATCAGAGGAAAGGAAAATTTTGGGGTGCCTGGGTTACTCATTTGGTTAAGCATCTGCCTTGGGTTCAGGTCATGATCTCGGGGTCCTGGGATAGAGCCCCTGTGTCCAGGTCCCTGCTCAGTGGGGAGTCTGCTTCTCCCTCTCCTCTGTCCCTCTCCCCCATCCCTCCCCCGCTTGTGTTCTCTGCTCTCT